AAAACTCCAAACCCTTAAGTGAGTTCTTAATGCAACCGATTCTGGACCATTGATCAAATAATTCTTTCGATCCATCTTAGCTTTCAACATAAGCCATTGCTTTTCCTAGTCTTTCTGCCCCCTTGTTGCGTCCATACTTAGCTTATCTTAGTTCACGCATGCCGGAGTTTGCGTACAACTCATATGATCTGAATATCACTTCTGATTTTACTCCCTATTCATTGGCCACTGTAGGTTCCACTTTCTTAGGGAGTTCATACAATGTTGTTTTGAGACTGTTGTCACACGACCATTTCCTCTTTAGGTCATTGTACTGAGGTTAAAGCCTTCTTCCTTATTTCCTCAGCTAGTCTTTCGTCGGAGTACTTAGGGAAGACCCTTTGACTCTTGTAAAGATGCGAGCTTATTATCCTGTATTCCCGATTGAATATTTGATGTTTGTGCTCACTTGTAATTATCCTTAGTTACTTACCTCCATAGTCCATACTGATTTCTGTTACTCTGAGGATTAACTCTCCCCTCTGGTAGTCGCGTTGGAGTCACGAACTTATTTCTCGAAATAAGGATATAACCTTATGGCCTATACTCTTTTGTTGTCTTAAGGCCCATTACCTTTTGTCTCTTTCTTCATTTAACTATAGGTTCTGTAACACTCTACCGTTTTCATACATGTATCACCACTTATTCATAATACTTCCTTATATCTCTTCTTATTACTCTGCTAATATTTATGCATATCCCTTTTCTTGTGAAAACTTCAATACGATATTTTTTCGCTTTTAACTTTCCTTTGCTCCATCCAGTGGCTCTTCAAGTTGCTTAACGTTCTTGCTTTACTAGGGATGCGAGCCACACTAAGGTAATATTTATCCCTTCAAGGCTTATAGTGCATGTCTTTGTAGTACTCATATCTGGCTGCACTATTTTAGAGTGCACCATCTGGGTGTCTCATAAAGAGATCTATTAGCAGATTTGCACTATCCGGAAATGTCAACTGACGCAATCAATTCATCCATCATATCTTCTTATACTATTTTTGTTACCTTCCCCCCCCCCATAGGGCATATCTGGAAGGGGTGCGTTCAATTGTATATACCTCTATTACTATTGAATATAACTCAAAAAGCTTATGTTCCTGTGCCTCAATTATAACCGCGGTTAACCTTCATTAACTGGGTACCTCGTACCCTTTTTCACCTTGCTCCTTTTACTTGCTGAAACTTGTACTTATCTTCTTAATCTCTCATTATCCTTCACCATAAAGATAGATAGGCATTCTTGACTTGAGGCTTCTTATCATGAAGCTTACACCTTGCAGTACACCCACGATCTGCTAAAGACCTCATATTTACTTATCGTAAGCATCATACAAAAATCCAATTCCTCTTACTCAACTCTTTCACAACTATTTCTCTTTCCAACCTTCTTTCCGGATGTAGGCATCCTGTTATTATGAATAACATAGAATTTTGGAACTTGAATTCTTATAAGTGAGCTCTACCACACGATCTAGAGTAAGAAGAAAGAGTGACAATCCTAAATGACCTGTAGCCTCCTGCTTATAAGTGTGGTGCACGACACACCCATAAACAAGACTCTACTAGACACGACTTGTAGACTCCCTAGGACAGAACTGCTCTGATACCACTCTTGTCACGACCCAAATCGATGGGCTGCGACGGGCACCCAGTACCTTACTTGACTGAGTACCAACGTAATGTACCTTTATTATTAAATCATTATATACATGTGACATATGGGCATAATAGGCTAACATAATCATTTATAAACTAAAACATAGGCCGACAGGGCCGTACAATCTTCCACGTACACGACATATATCTACAAGCCTCTAAGAGTACATAAGTGTCACAAAGTTCGGAACAGAGTCCCGTCATACCTAACAATAGACGTCTAAATCATACTAACCAAATACGCAGCTCCGAAGCAAATGGAGCGCACCAACATCTTCCGCTGAGCTGATAGCCTACTTGGAAGGCTCTCGACCTATCTATCAGGACCTACGGGCATGAAACGCAGTGTCCCCAGGCAAAAGGGACGTCAGTACGAATAATGTACCGAGTATGTAAGGCACATAAATAAATACATAGGAGACATGGAAGACATATGGAGTACATGACTCAACCCGTACGTCTGAATAACTTTGTAAATCATAAATTACTTTCAGCGTCATGCATATGCGTATGAATGTCATGTCGTACATAGGTATATGTTTCATAACATCATCAGCCTCTGAGGGCATCCATCATATCATATCGGCCACTGTGGGCAAAATCATCATCGTATACCAGCTGATCAGGTGGTGGTGCGTATATAACGCCATAACCTTTCCCATATCCCATATACATATATATACATACATAATACGCGTATATAACGCCGTTTGAATACATACATATATATGCGTATATAACGCCATTTGAATACATACCCATATATGCGTATATAACGCCGTTTGAATCATATTTCAGCCATTGTGGGCAACAACATCATCATATACCAGCTGACCAGGTGGTGGTGCGTATATAACGCCATAACCTTTTCCCATATCCCATATACATATATTTACATATATACGCGTATATAACACCATCTGGTCATGGGTCAGTGCACATGAATGCAGTCATAAAAAGTACGTCAATAAAATTATTCGGAATGTCATAAGACCATTTTGCCTCTGAGTAATATCATAAAGTAAACCCTTTTCAACTTTCGTATTTTTCTAAGACCCATGAACAGATGATAAAATATTATGACACATGGAAATTAAAGAACATGGATATTTCTATTACTTCTATGAGTAGAGTCACTTATGAAATTTGTGCATTTGCACGTTTCGTTCATATCGTATGGATCATGCCAAAAGAAAGAAGGGATAGCCTTAACATACCTGGAGTAGGGAAAACTCAGTATAATACTCCATTGGAAAACCTTCGTTGATTGAGCAAAATTCGCCCCTGCTTCTTTAGAAATTCACGGACGAAATTTTATTTAGTTCCTAAAAATTTTGGAACGAATAACATTGAATTCATTTGAAAACGTTTCTGGTTTTTCTTAAGTTTGAAAGAATAACGTTGAATTCATTGATTTTTTTGGAGGAATCGTGTTTGGTTTTGGAAGGAAATAGGTTTCTGCTTTTAGTATTTGTGCAGATAGTACTAGTTACATTAGTTTTGCAAATGCTTTCAAAACTGAAGTGGCAGCAAGAAACAATGAGAATTATTTAAGTTTTCCATGTGTCTAGAATTTGGACTTTGAAGATTATCCATTTGTCACCTTAATTAGTATTTTGGCTGCCACCTAATGAAATTTTTCTAAGAGTCATAGTTTTATCATGTAGCTTGATGCCACGTTTGGAGGGTTTAGTCTTATCTTATTGTTTTATCAATTAGTTAGATAGTATCCCGTTACCCGATTATTACTCAATTACCCGTATCATTAAAAATGACCACAAATTACTTAAAAATTTATTTATTTTTAAAATACTTCATATATACTTTATATATTATACTACCGTGGTTATATGGTACCTTGAATGGTACTAGTTCATAATTATCGGTTATTATTACTCGACCCGTATTTTATTCCAAATTGACTACTTTCAACGAAACTCGTTTTCTTTAATCCGTGTACCCTCTTATTCTTCATAACACTTATTTATTGCTTGCTATAAATAGCGTAAGTACGTTAATGTCAAGATGATCTCATCTCCTAGTCTTACACGGTTAACTGAAAACAAAAATTTTAACGTACAATACTTCAGGGTGCAACATCGTTGTAACTTAATACTGCGGGACGTGACATCTCACTTCTGGTCTCTCATTAATATATTTATGGCTTATTTTCATGCACAAAAATATGGGGTGTAACAGTTTCAACACCGGTTTGCTTTATCTTATTGTTAATTTTTATTACTAATCTTCATATTTATCAATTGGTATTAGGCAAAATCACGTGTCCTTAAACCACGTTATAAGTTTAATTGTTATCCAATTTTTAGGGTAAACAGTTTGGCGCCCACCGTGGGGCTAAACATAATAGTGATTGCCTGGTATTAATTCTCATAACACACACTACTTTACGCTTGCCTTGTGAGTGTTTTTGATTTCAGGATCAGCATGTCTAACTCGCAAGCAGTACCCACTCACGCTGACAACGTCCTCGATTTCTATGGAGAATTAAAATGACAATATAGCCGCAACAGGGATCGAAGTGCCTCAGGTTGGCCTCGAGGGAGTACCAATTGCATATCCCGTCGATGTCAGTTCACATGTCGCCCTAAATGCAAATCTGGGCATTTTCTCTCGAAGGTAGCGTACACAGGGAAGTTAGATCAGGTGGTCGAGGTATGCAGGGCGGAGAAGACGGTAGAGTCAGCCTCCAATTGATATTCAAAATGCTACAGGCTCAACAAGCCGCTATAGCGCAACTACAGAATCAGCATTGAGCACCAAGTGGTATCGAACCAGAACCGGAACCAAAAGCTGTTTGTAGGGCCGAATCTATACCGAAGAGATCGAACGCCAATCACTCGGGGACTGACCCTGCCATTATGAAAATGCTGGAGGAGCTCACTGAACGGATTGAATCAGGAGGAAAGAAAATCGAAGAAAATGATAAAAATGTAGAAACATACAGCTCCCGGATTGACCAAATACCGGGGGCACCGCCGATTCTAAAGGGTTTGGATTCGAAAATGTTCTTGCAAAAGCCTTTCCCTCCAAGTGCGGCTCCGAAGCCCATCCCGAAAAAATTTTGCATGCCAGAAATTCCCAAAAATAATGGGACCACTGACCCTAATGAGCATGTTACTTCTTATACATATGAAATAAAGGGGAATGACTTAGAAGACGATGAGATTTAATCCGTTCTATTGAAAAAGTTTGGAGAAACTTTATCGAAAGGGGCGATGATATGGTACCATAATTTGCCGCCCAATTCCATCGATTCCTTCGCCATGCTTGCAGTTTCCCTCGTGAAGGCACACGCCAGAGCAATAAAAGTTGCGACTAGGAAGTCGAACCTCTTCAAGGTGAGACAAAAGGACCACGAAATGTTAAGGGAATTCATATGTCGATTTCAGATGGAACCTATGGACCTACCCCCGGTCACAGATGATTGGGTTGTTCAAGCTTTTACTCAAGGTTTGAATGAACGAAGTTCGATAACATCACGACAACTAAAGCAAAATTTAATTAAATATCCAACTGTGACCTATGTTGATGTACATAATTGATACTAGTCAAAGATTAGGGTTGAGGATGATCAATTGGGAACCCCTTCCGGTTCCATTTACCCAAATAAGCCCATCGGCAGAATTCAGAAGGACATCAATAGAGAACCCCGATCGAACAGAGATCGATACCAACCATATAGCGTAGATCGTAGAAACAACAAACCATGACGTAATCCCGTTCAAAAAATGATCGAAGAAATAATCAAGGACAAAGCTTCCGAGGGATCATGAGTAAAAGTGGTTTCGATAAACATGTCAAGCCCACAGAAGTACCACGACTATTAGAATACAACTTCAGCATCGATGCATCAGGTATTGTGTCAACCATTGGATGGATCAAGGATACTAGATGGCCTAGACACCTACAGGCCGATCCAGCTCAAAGGAACCCTAATCAAATATGCAAATACCATGGTACCCATGGTCACAAAAATGAAGACTACGGACAACTGAGGGAGGAGGTAGCTCGTTTATTCAACGAGGGTCACCTTCGAGAATTCTTGAGTGACCGAGCTAAAAATCACTTCAGAGACAGGGATGCAAATCATTAGTAGGGTCGATATTCCTCAAAGACTGGTATTCAAATGCACCGAGGTGATAATCATGTGGGAAAAGCGAACTCGGGACTACATACTAGAAGAAACCTTGTCTTTCAACAACGATGATGTAGAAGGGATCGAACAACCTCACAATGACTCACTAGTAATATCTGTCCTTATGAATAGAATTCAAGTTAAACGTGTATTGATTGATCTAGGTAGCTGGGCAAATATTATTCGATCAAGGGTCGTAGAGCATCTCGGCCTCCAAGATCAAATCGTGACCGCAACTTGAGTACTTAATGGCTTCAACATGGCAAGTGAAACCACCAAAGGGAAATTATTTTGCCAGTAAATGTGGCCGGGACCATCCAAGAAACAAAGTTCCATGTGATCGAAGGTGACATGAGGTACAACGCGTTGCTCGGAAGGCCTTGGATCCATAATATGAGGTCAGTCCCCTCGACACTTTATCAAGTCCTGATGTTTCCAACATAAGAAGGAATCAAAATGGTGTACGATGAACAACCCGCCCCAAAGAAATGTTTGCAATAGACGAAGTAGTACCGGTATCGGCACTTTTATCAACAAAGGGATTGGAGTCAAAGGGAAAGTAAGAAGTCAAATAGCAACCACAGTGACCAGCCTCAGCCCGATTAGAGGAGCAGGAAACTTTTGATGATGTTGATTATATGATACCTCGAACCTTCAAAATCCCCAATGATTTTGATGCAACAAAGTCAAAGATCGAAGAGCTAGAACTGATCATATTGATCGAGAATCTTTCTGATCGAAAGATACACCTGGGCAAGAGGTTAACCCCCGAGCTCAGGGAAAAACTCATTAATTCCATATAAAAAATATGGATTGTTTTTCTTGGTTCCACCTTGACATGAGAGGGATCCCACCGGAGATTACTACCCATCGATTGAGCTTGGACCTAAAGTTTCGACTGGTAAAACAAAAGAGAAGGCCCCAGTCTGAGATTAAGCATGCATTCATCAAAGACGGGGTAACCAAATTCTCAAATAGGGTTCATTCGGGAGGTAAAATATCCCGAATGGCTAACAAACGTAGTCGTAGTTCCTAAAAAAGTGGATAAACTTAGAATGTACGTAGACTACAACGATTTAAACAAAAAATGCCCTAAAGATTCCTTTCCTTTGTCGAATATCGATCGCATGATCGATGCCACGACTGGCCACGAGATCCTTAGTTTTCTCGATGCCTATTCCGGGTATAATCAAATACAAATAAACCCGGAGGATCAGAAAAAGACTTTGATCATTAGTAAGTACGGTACTTATTGTTATAATGTTATGCCGTTTGGACTAAAAAACTCTGGTGCTACTTATTAACGCCTAGTAAATCGAATGTTCGAAGAACAAATAGGTAAATCAATGGAGGTGTATATTGACGATATTCTAGTCAAGTACCTACGAGTAGAGGACCATTTAAAACATTTGTAGGAGACCTTCGACATACTGAGAATACAACATGAAGCTCAACCTAGAGAAATGTGCATTCGGGGTCGGTTCGGGAAAGTTCCTCTGCTTTATGGTATCATATCAGGGGATCAAAATCAACCCCGATAAATCAAGGCAATCGGAGACATCATAGTTGTTGATAATGTCAAGGTTGTATAGAGGTTAACATGGCGCATAGCTGCCCTTGGTCGATTTTTTTCAAGGTCCTCAAATAGGAGCCACCTTTTTTTCTCACTGCTGAAGAAAAAGAGCAATTTTGCATGGACCTCGGAATGTCAACAAGCCTTGTAGGAACTTAAATGATACATGTCAAGCCCGCCATTGCTTCACACCCCGAAAGCGGACGAGCAACTCTACTTATACTTAGCGGTCTCGGAGATAGCGGTAAGTGGGGTCTTAGTTCGAGAAGAGCAAGGTACGCAATTTCCTATTTACTATGTTAGTCGAACTCTAGGAGAGGCCGAAACCCGATACCCACACTTAGAAAAATTTAGCATTCGCTCTAATAAATGCCTCTAGAAAATTAAAATCGTACTTTTAGTGTCACCCAATTTATGTTGTAAACACCTATCCCCTTTGCAACATTTTGCATAATCCCGAACTCTCGAGTCGATTGGCCAAATGGGTCGTCGAGATCAGTGGGTACGATATTGAGTATCAACCCCAAACGACCATCAATTCTCAAATCTTGGCAGACTTCGTGGCCGACTTCACACTAGCCCTCGTATCTGAGGTCGAAAATGAACTATTATTAAAATTGGGTACATCATCGGGGGTGTGGACCCTCTTCACAGACGGTGTTTCGAACGTAAAGGGGTCTGGGCTTGGCATCATTTTGAAGTTGCGCACAGGTAATACAATTAGACAGTCTATCAAAACTTCAAAATTAACTAACAATGAGGCCGAGTATGAGGACATGATTGCAGG